GAAGCGTTTGGACAAAAAAAAAAAAAAAAAAAACATTTGGACAGTTTTTATATAATTTATTATCTAAAAACAAAAAAATTATTAGATTACATGAGAAACTGTATAAAAACTAAATCAAAGTATCTTGTCTGTCGTATTCAATGAAGTATATATATATATATATATATATATATATATATATATATATATATATATAACCGAAATTACCCCATTCAGATAGCCATTTCGTCCCTGGGAGATCCTCGCTAAGACTTGTTAATGCAAATACATTTTTTTTTAAATTTTGAAAAATTAGAATTAATGAAAGAAGGAAAGAAAGAAAAAATTAATTAATTAATCATTTTTATAATTCGCTTATATGCTCTATAATAAATATATTGACCTCTCTTTTGTGGATCAGTTTTACTATTTTATATTAATATTATCTACTTGGATGATTTACCCACGGATTTTACCTATATATATATATATATATATATATATATATATATATATATATATATATATATATATATATAAAAAATTTTTTGTTTGAAGGTATGCTATATTCATATAGATAGAACGTATATAAATATAAAAATATAAAAGTGGACATTGAGGTCAACACCGGGCAGTAAGAGTCTGTTTCATACTTGAACGGAAACATAGCCTGAAGACTGCGTTCAAGCATGGGACAGACTGTCACCGCCTTATGTTGGCCTCAGTGTTTGCATATATATATATATATATATATATATATATATATATATATACATATATATATATATAAAGCAGGATGTGTGTGTAACGAATGCACGGGCGCAATTTTCGACAGATTTGCACCAAAATTTACATGCACATGCTCCAAGTTAGCGGGAAGGCCAAGACCGACTTTGCATTTCCCAACTCCCATCGATAGTGGAAATAATCAATTTTTTCATGCTTCTACGGCACTTTTCATGTAGTTTACGGCCATTTTCTACTGGCCTTAGTTAGAGCCTATAGCTGGCTGCCACGAATAGGCAGGAAGATTCTATTGGCCAGCGTGAGAGCCAGCAGCTGACTGACACGAATGTTAACTAGCATGCAAAAAAAAAAATCGATAGCTGCATTCGTCACAAGTGGGAAAAATTTGAATCTGCATGGCACTTAACTCCAATTGGCTCATTCGCTTGCTTAAACTCAACGTAGATTCTGATTCCGCAGAACTGGGTTGGGTGTGAAAAAGAATTTGTTGTTAACATTCTTTTTTCATTCGGTTTTTCCAGTTACGAGTCCTTTTTTAAAGCTGATCGTTTTGTGTTCATTTGGTTTAGTTCTTTTTTCGTAACAGATTTAATGTTTAGTATAGAGCTTAGAAAAATTCGCCGTGTGAGATAGGCAAGAAGTAAGGCATGTAGCAACATCAGCACGGCAAAGGGCACTCCTTTAAAGGCAAGGAAGGGCAAAAATATTTTAAGTCAAGTGAAAGCGATTGCTATATGAGTCGTACAAGTTTTGAATCAAGTCCGGGCAACGCTAGGCCATGCTGCTAATATATATATATATATATATATATATATATATATATATATATATATATATATATATATATATATATATATATATATATATACGGAGGAATAATAAAGACAAAAGGAAAACTTATCATAGTCGACGCGTTTCTTTCTGAAAACGTCAGGCAAACTATGGGTGACGTGACGTGATACAATTCAATGTCTTGCCTCACGTTTTCAGCTAACCGGTTTTGTTTTAGGGCACATCAGCCTCAATGGATCATTTAATATTCAGCTAGCTGGATGAATATTCATGAGCATTCCTAACTCAAATACTTTGAAAAACCGATGACATTTCCCCCCTTGTATATAGATACGTGTTACAAAATAAAATCCTGGCATGTGTCTTGATAAATTTCCACAACGGATGGAAAGCGTCGACTAAGACAAGATTTCCGTTTTTTTTATTATTATTCATATTGTCTTTTTACAGATATAATCTGAAATTTTTTTACATACACACACACGTACACACACACACACACACATATATATATATATATATATATATATATATATATATATATACAGATAGATGGTTAACTTTTCTTCTTTTCGTGCAAAAAAGTGTATATCTGTATTTAAGGAATTAAAATATTGTACAAGTATTTGTGACTGATCACTTTCATTTATATTTATGATCGTTATCAAGATTGATGAAGTTCTCTGGATAATGTTGAAACTACATAAATTCAAAATAATCTTACATTCAACATCGAAAGATTATACGTTGGGATGTATATGTATGTATGTGTGTACGTATGTGTGTGCTCAGTGCGTGTTTACATGCAGAATCCATTAAATATGCGTGTGTATGTATATATATGCGTATGTATATATATGCGTACAAAATATGCATATAAATAAAATATATATATATATATATATATATATATATATATATATATATATTATTTATTTTATTTATTATTTCAATATATCTTTTGAAATATGATCACTGCCTTCCCCCACCTATTTTTAACTTGTCAAGTCCAGGAATAAATTATATTCTGGTCACCATGGCGACTGGCTTAAGTCCTCTCTTTCCCTGTCTTACTCTCTTTCCCTTTCGCCTCCCCAGGTCTATCTCACAAGCCTTATATTGAAATCTCTATCTTCTCTCCCTTTTTCATTAAAACTGTTTCTCTTTTTTCACTCTCTTCTAATTTTTTCTTTTTTTTCTTTTCCTTGTGTCTGAATAAATTGAACTCCATTTATTTTGTAAAATTTGGTCTGAAGAGATGGTCTTCTTTGTCCACGAAATAAAATATCACCAGAAGGGATTTTTAAAGATTCTGTATTGATTATTATATTTGGTTTGTTCTTACGTTGAGCTCCCTTTGGATTTATATCCTCCTTGGAATTATCCCTACTAATTATCAAGTGATGTTATTTACATTATATATATATATATATATATATATATATATAATTATTTTAAAAAAAAATTTATAACATAAATATGTTATAAAATCACTACAAAAATAGCCATTTTGTTTCAACGCCCCAGTGTCTTATCAAGTGATGATGTTGAATATTGAGTTCATTCCGTATACACCAATTATATACTTGTATATATATATATATATATATATATATATATATATATATATATATATATATATATATATATTATGTACCGTAATTCCCCTTGTATAATACGCATTTTTCTATAAAATATAGGCAAAATCAGAGGTGCGTATTATGCAGAGCTAAAAAAAATCTTTAAAAAATTGCCGTAAAATAAAAAAAGAATTATCATAAAACTAAATTAGAATAATATTATTCTATATTTGAAACCATTTTTAAAAAAATAAGAGTCGGAAACACTGGCGGTAATGAAATTGGAGAGGTACAATTTATAGAGTTTGATTAACAAATAAGTGGTGCGTATTTTGCATGATTAGAAGCATTTTCCCACACTTTCAGCACAATATTAGGTGTGCGTATTATGGATGAAGGCGTATTATAGATGGGGAAGTACGGTATATAAAATATGCGTATAAGTAGATGAATATGCAACGAGCATAATGATAAAATGTAATTATCTTATACAATAAATAATTATTTTTCTGCTTTTTCTCTTTTTTTTTTCTTTTCTGGAATTTTCTTTTTGGTGGGGGAACCAAACCCATAAGTTAATCCCATACACATTGAACAGAGGTCAAAATTCAATTGCCTTTTAGGACACTGACTCATTGATTCACCGGCTTGTAATGGCCGGCTACTTGATTCCGAGTACACCCATCTAGCCAATCCTTGTTGACGATGCCAACTCTGGCACATTTGTCATTGTTCAATGCCCACAGAGCCAACCTCTGTAGCAGTTATGCTGAGTGGACATTTAAAGAATTTTCTGGAAGAGATCACATGATCTGGCATGATCAACAGTTTGATCAAGGCCAGTACGCAAAAATCCTCCGCCACGATGACTTGCACCTTCGTGCTACCACAACCATCTACACCCTGCGAATAATTCGACTCTACCAAATTTAACTCCCAAATATTGGTCAACTCGTGAAGTATTGTTTTCCGGCTCTTACCAACGTTGTCATACGCTGGGATCGCATCCCCAGGTCAATAAAATCAAGAAGCCACCTTCAGATCGACAGGTCGACCATGATGAGCTTCGAATTCAGGTGTCATGTTCAGATAGCATTCTAACCACTCGATAACGCGCCCCGATACAAACTCTTTCGCCTCAGCCAGTACCCGCGTAATCTACGCCAAAGTCGTCAAACTTCGTGTGCATCTGACTGAAAGTGAAGTTTCAAATATTTCCTGGGATTGGTAAAGAAAATTATTTACTAAATCTTTGGTACAAATCAAAAGAATTTTTGTGGTTTTTGTTACAGTGTTTGTTTGAGCTTAATCAAAAGCTATTCACAAGTTAAATTAGGTTCCTTTATACATATATGGATATGTGTGCTCACCTTTTCAGTTTTGTATACAAGCAGGCATGTCTTTTCAAATGTATTTGCCCATTCGCACATATAAAGGAACAAATAAAATTTGCATCATTCATTTAAAAAGTCTTGAGTTTAAAGGGATGAGTGTGATCACACGCACACACACACACACATATACACACGCACACACATAGAAAGAAAGAAAGAAAGAAAGAAAGAAAGAAAGAAAGAGGAGGTAAGTTGACTATCGCGGAATTTACAAGTACATGATATATTGATTTATTGATTGATATGTTTTTTACGGCTTATCAACCTTTTGTGGGTTGTTTAAAGTCAACAAATATTTTTGGTTAGTAAGAAATTTTTGTAGTTAATAAGGATTTAATTATGGAAGTCTTATTAGTTAACCCATAGCTGTCGAGAGAGAAGCTAGATCTGTACGTTTTCCAAGGGTATTTGTACATAAGTGAATATAACGTACCCGACTGAAATTTGAAATCGGCTCTCCGATTTCTCATTCCGAACCATTATCCATTATCCCACCCGCACATCCAAGCTTACAGCACCTAGTATTCCCAAGCGGTCACCCATCTAGGTACTGACCAGGATCGATGTTGCTTAACTTCGGTGATCGGACGAAAACTGATATTTCAGCGTGATATAGCCGTAAGATATATTAACAAACTGAAGTCATATAGGAGGATTGTGCAGCGCCAAATTCTTGTATGTACTTCTAGAGTCGTTAACTGAAATGTTATCTTCGTCCAAACCCATGACAACTTGCACGGTTAAGTGGGTAAATAGTAGTGTTGTAATGGTTAACGAGCTAGTCGGATTAATGTGCTCATTGCTCACAGAGTGTCCCGTGTATTGAAATAAGGAAATCTTAATAAATAATATATTTAAAATGATGAGTATCGCTGATTTTACAAATGCGAAAATGATTTGATTGCACGAGAAAGAGATCGGCGGGCATTGAGTTAAATAGATAAAACTTTTTCACTTTTGAAAAATTAAGTTAAATTATCATTTACGCTGCTGTGGACGTACATATACGTGTTTACGAAACGTAATTGACTGCTGTCGACGTATATATACGTTATTTACACCTACTGAAATTCCTGCAGGACGATGCAACAGCCTATTTGATTAATTCTTTGGTCCATGAATTTTGTTGAACTTGTGAGTTCAATCCCTGGGCAGGGCAGTGGGTATTTGAATTCAGTGGAAAGGGGGCGAGCAATAACGGAGTAGTACTAAAAAAAAAACAAAAAAACAATAAGTAGTCGATTTATTTCTAGACATGGGCAGTGGTACCAGAACAGTCTACTGCCGTAGATTAAATAAAGGATTCAGTTCAAAATTCGTTGTACACACTGCCCGGCCCATGGATTGAACTCCCACTTAATTTATCAATAAATTTTACAAACCAACGCTTTAATCCACTAAGTTATTGTCCCGTTCTGCAGGAATTCCTGTAAATGTAAATAATATATATAAACCTTAACGGAATTCTGTTAAGTTCCGTAAGCATTGATATACACATGATGAAGGCAAGAGAGCACAATAGCCGAAACGTTACGAGAACAACAATGAATACGTTTAATTTAGCGCATGCGCGTTGTTTACTTTTGATTTTCTCGACAGAACAGTATAGTAGGCTCAGTTAGACATCGTATGTGTGAAAAAAAAGCACCATGACGCAATTCACTTCGCCAGAAATTTAGAAACGGAATGCCGTAGAGCTTAGAATTCGAGTGTCAATCTGAAAACAGTGCAGAGAATTCTGAAAGAGTTGGATGGGTCTAATGGTGATTACGAATGTGTTTGGAGTGATGGCGACGTTATGCCTCATTTCATCTTCCCACAGGGCCTCAGACTCAACACGGGGACCTACAAGTGCCTTGAGGAGGTAATGCTGCCCTGGGTCAAGAGGGTGACTGCTGGAAGAATCTGTGTCTGGCAAGAGAACTCTGAACTATGCCACACAGGCAGGAGAACTCAGTCATGTCTGTCAAACCATTTCGGCGACGGCATCACCGCTTACATCTGGCCACCTAACTCCCCAGAATGTAACCCCCTTGATTATTATGTATGGGGAGCACTTGAGCGAGAGACCAACAAAACTCCTTTCAGCACCAAAGACGAACTAAAGCCAAGGATTATGGCAGCATTTACCAACTTAATCAAGAAGATCGTCCAGAAGAGATGCAGGAGATTCAGAAGTCGTTTGGAGGCCGTGATTGAAGCCAATGGCGATCATGTTGAATAAATTTACTCTTTAGTATTTCAAGATGTTTTCTTTAATTTTAGTAAATATATCTTTTAAAATGAGATGTCAGTGTCATTTTCATTTTTGCGGCATTTAGACGACAATTTATCCATCGCATCCTGTATATTCGTTTCCAAGACATCGTGAAATATCGGTTCCTAGCGTTTCTATTATAAACAAATCAGTGCTGTTTCAAAACCGTAGTCAACATATCGCAGCCACATACGACCATTTTACCCCAAGCAAGGCGATAATGCCACTAAGACGTAAAGTCTTTCGTGAGGAGAAATGACAATAAAAGTTTGTATTTAGATGTTTAGCTATTAAATTTAGCTGTTAAGAGTGACAAATTGATCAAGCTTATCCCATTCATGGCTTATTTTAATCATCTTGGAAATACGAGATTATTTTTAATAATTTCACCTTAAGAAAAGCGATAATCCCGGTATGACGTAAGGAATTAATGGGTGTAGAGGAAAATGAAAAGACTTTAGTAAGGAGAACAGTCAATAAATGTTTTTTGATGCCAACGAACACTAGTTGCCACTTTTGTGATGTCAACGAATACTCGTCGTCACTTTCGTAGTAGAGACTTTGTAATCGCAGATATAACTATAGTAACGCCATGGAACAATACTGTTGTCAGACGTCTTCGAATAAGTCTCGCAATAATAGTACTTGACTGATAATACTCGCTTGAGATATAATCACCGAATAGTGATCCGAATAGAAAATTATTATAGTGAATAGATTAGAGAATAGTGGTCCGTATAGTAATAGAGGATAGAATAGAAATGCGATCAATTAGACACACGCTACCTCCGATATATGCGTTTCTTCTATGGTCCCTTGGTGTACTTAATTCAATAATGGGATCGCCTGTGTTTGCTCACTGGCGATCTATGTTCAAACTCAAGTCTCGGCAGCGATATTTTATTCCTATATAACAAAATGTTTGTATTATATCGTGTGTTGGGGTGTCGTTTAGATTAGTCTGTACTGCCTCTCAGAAATCCAAATATAGGCGCCCATATGAAATCGTCATCAATATTCTTACCATGAATCGTGCAGAGTCTCCACCTGGATTATAATCATAAAATTTTTATGTCATGCGATACGTTTTGTAGGTCCCCTGAGATTATGTGGTATTATGGTATATGGATTAATGACTGGCGATGGATGAGTTTTTGTGGTGAATGTGTCAATTGTAACGAATGAATGGACCGTGAATCGGATTAGCTAGATATAGGATAGTAAGTGACGACCAGTCTCAATCCCAAATCCCCCCTTTCGTTGGCCTTGTGCCACAATTGTATATTTTACGAAATAAATCTTGGGTCTCACTCTGGACCGTCAGGGAAGCAATCAGGGTCAAGGCATGCAATCATACACTCTCCCTGATAAGTATAATCAACCGTCAAACATTATGTACCAATTATTTGCAAATTTTGACTCAGGTAGAAGGGTTAAAATTAATATAATACTCAATAGTATCAACTATGGACACGGCCATAACTTGCTGACCATGTTTGAAGGGAAAAAAACTATAGTTACTATGTATATCACTATAGATACACATACCGTGCTGTTCGATAAAAGTGACTCACCAGATTTTTTTTACTAAATGTTCTCTTCTCCGATGAAACGACAGTTGAGCTAAATTCAAAGGACAAGCGATCTAAAATCCGAAGAAGAAGCTTTGAAAGCTCTTTGAATTTATCAGTAAGTACTGTCAAACATCCGTTCAGTAATCTCCCAATCTCCTGACGTCAACCCCATAGAAAACTTATGGAGCATGTTGCTCAACTGCTTTCTCGAGAGCCTGTACTTTATAATGCTCCATAAGTTTTCTATGGGGTTAGGTCAGAGATTAAAGGCTATGCCATAACACTCACCTGCTTCTCATCAAAGTATTCCTTCATCAATTTTGATTTGTGACAGGGAGCATTATCCTGCATAAAAATGAGCTTGGTGGGGTCGATTTGCACCCTTTCGGCAGAACGGAACAGACAGGACTCTAAAATTCTCTTGTACTGCTCGCTCCTGAGGGTCTTTTCAATAGATTTTAAGAAACCAGTTCCATGAAAAGAAAAGCATCTCCAGAACATTATACTGAACTGATGCTTGACAGTACTTACTGCTAACTTCAAAGAGCTTTCAAAGCTTCTTCTTCGGATTTTAGATCGCTTATCTTTTGAATTCAGCTCAACTTTCGTTTCATCGGAGAAGAGAACATTTAGTAAAAAAAAATAAGGTGAGTCACTTTTATCGAACAGCACGGTATATATATTATTTTTCCGACTTTCGAATTAGACTTATCTGCTCAGAGTCGTATCCGAGCTCAGGAAGAAGGGTTAAAATTGTTCAGTAACGCAGGGCTTCAAAGGGTTAAGGAAACCGGGAATCCACTATGCTGTCTTATTTAAGCGTGCATGGAAATTTACAAATTAAAAAAAAACGAAAGAAGCTGTGGAGAGACACGATCAGCGTTTATTTCAAGGTTTGCCATTTGATTATTACATTTACGATGAAAGACATATTTCCAGCAAAATTAAACTGTTTTTTGTAAGATTTATTTTATTTTTTTATTTTGTTTTTTATAAACCGTTTTCTGAAATTCGAGGTTTTTGTCACGACGGGTCTCATTTTACAACGTGTAACGGATTATATCTTCCTTGTGCACATTTTTTTTTTGTTCATATTTAGAACGACCCGGTCAACGGGTCTCCCTCAAATACGACATTCTCTTCTCTCGTTTTCTGTCCCCACCACGAAAAGAATGTTTAGTCTTGCTGTACGTTTTTTTTTTTTCTCCACTGCTGGTGTGTTTATATTTGCATTCCTGAGCGATGCCCACACCTCAACCACAACGACTGGCACCAATACCTCCCACGCTTCCAAATGTTTTGTAATAGCAGGAAAAATTCACTTCCCCCACCCCAGGGTAAAATTTCTTTCTTTCTTTTGAAATAGCGGAAAATATAAATAGCAAGGACTGCGTATATATATATATATATATATATATATATATATATATATATATATACACACATTTGCACACTCTCAAAGGATTATATATATATATATATATATATATATATATATATATATATATGTAATGCTTTGAGAATGTGTCATATATATATATATATATATATATATATATATATATATATATATATATATATATATATATATATATATATATATATATATATATATATATATAGTTTATAAAGAACTAGGTAATCCGTATGGGTAAACTTAAGGAGGATAAAATCAGAGAACTCAATGTAAATCCAGAGCAAATAATTTAAATAAAAACAGACCACTTTAAGGTTCCATGTAATAAATTATTTCACCACAGCCTTTTTAAAGGACTGCGGACCATCAGACTTTACTTCCAAACAAAAATGAAAAGAAAATTTATACATTTTTGACGGGCCGTATTAAATATATGCAAATTAACGAAGTGAGGAAATGAGTGGGCAGAGAGAAGACATGAGTGAGTTAGCAGATATTGACACATTTATATATATATATATATATATGGGTTTTGTTAAATAATTTAGACATATGTCGATTGGTTTTCGTTGTGACCCTTTCAAGTTCACGGATTAATTACTTGGAAAATTGATTAAGAAAAATACCAAAATTTTCTTTCAAATAGTTTTTTTTTTTATTTTACAAAGTACTTTCAATCTCATCTAGACACTCTTCAGGGGATTAAGTTGTACGTGAGAATGTATATGTCTTTCTGTAAATTTAAAACACCTCAACTGTTCATTTTTACTGCTTATGCAGCGTTCTAGATTTAGAAGTTCAAAGTTCACGTGCTTTTTTAGCTTTTTTTTTTTTCTAGTGTAATATGTCTAAATTATTTAACCAAACCCGTTTGAATGAAAATATGTTGCCTAAATATGCACAATTTGTGTATTTGGGCAGCAATCCCTCTTTTATAAATGTTTCCATAAAGTCGACTGACAAAGTACTGCGATTAAGCTTTTTATTCAATTCTTCTTGCATTCATTTAGGGTTTTCTCTTCTGGTCATTAAGTGTGTAAAAATTGTCCAAATGTTCTATATATCTTAGTACTTTCGTCTATTCTATTAGTCATTAACAAGGATTTAAAAAACAAACAAGTGAAATTGTAGATTTATATATATGTGTATCTATAGGGATGGGAAAGTTTTTCATTTCAAACACGGTCAGCACGCTATGATCGTGTTCATAGTTGATATTATTGAGTATTAGCTTTTCATTTTTATTATTAAAAAAATGATTAATACTTCCATTATTTTATCGTTTCTTTAAAAATGTAAATGAGGCTATTATATTATCGACTTATTTTCTTAAAGGATATATATATATATATATATATATATATATTATGAAATGGATTAAGTTCGACAATCGTTTTATTTAATATAAATTTTCTCTTTAAACGTTATTATAATAGATAATTTTTTTTAAGTAAATGGTCTGATTTTTTAAAAAAAATAAACTCTGTTAATTACATTTAACATTCAGGCAGGTAAATGTAATTAATACTGTTTATTTAAATAAAACAGAGCATTTACTTAAATAAATTGTATCTTTTAATAGATACTATTTATAATTATAATAATAATAATATATAATAAATTAATTATCATAATATATATAATAACGTATAAACAGAATATATATATATATATATATATATATATAATGGACAATGAGGTCAACAAGTGATTAAAGTCTGTTTCATGATTGGAATGAGGACATGATGATTACGTTTAAACATGTAACAGACTGTTGCCACTCGATATTGACCTCAGTGTCCACTTTGATATTTACACACGCTTATCCCTGATATTGAGCAGTTTTACCCATAAATATAGCATTACATAAAACTATAATTTTGTCATATATATATATATATATATATATATATATATATATATATATATACACATAGATAAATCAAACGGCTAGATATAAACCAGAGTATACGCGCGTGCTGGTGTGCATACGCGGTCAAGCAAATAAATAAGCGTTAAATTTATACATGAGGTGTAAACATAATAGTGCACTATGTGGTTATACAGAGCAAAAGATATATATTGATTACTACATATATGTGTGCCTACGTTTCGCTGCATTAACACCATATCTGGCACAAGTTCTATATTGTTAAAAGTGTTTAACAACATAGATCTTGTGTCCTAAAGCGAAACTTTAGACGCACACCAAAACGTAGATACATATAGATGTACCAATTAATATATATATATATATATATATATATATATATATATATATATATATATGCAGATATGTAGAAAAATAGGAAAAAAAACACGTTAGGAAAATAATCAGGAGTTCTTTAATATTTTTGTTTTTATTTTTAAAAAACAGTGCTCCATATAGAAGTCGAGGTTAAATTATGGATATTTTTTAAAAGATAAATCAAAAAATGCCTTGGATTAACAATCTGGATTAATACCAAAGAAGTCATGAATTGGTTTACCAACATCAACAATAAGCCTGATTGCACCCTAATACAGTTAAATATTGTGGATTATTACCAGTCAATATCAAGAGATCTCTTTACGACTGCCCTTGAGTTTGCTACTGTATATTCTGACTTAACTAAGGAAGAAATGAGCATAATTCTTCGTGCAAAAAAATCTGTCCTCATCCATAATGGGGACCAATGGATTAAAAATAATAATGACAATTTTGAAATCACCATGGGATCTTTAGAGTCTTCTGACCGTATCGGTCTATTTATACTATACAATTTAGCTGCGCACCGTGAATTAGACATTAAGGACATCGGGCTATACAGGGATGGCGGGTTCATGGTAGTGAGGTGTTCCACAAATTTTAAAATAGATAAAATTAGAAAGATAATATATAGTGAATGCAGAAAACTAAGCTTAATAACTACAGTCAATACTAAATTAAAAAGGGTAAACTTCCTCGACTTAATGAACAACATATACCTAACTTAGAGAAAACCTAACACTAATCCCTTGTATGTACACCCTAAATCAAACCACTCTCCATCTATAATTAAGCATATACCCACATCAATAGAGAAAAGAATCAGCATGAACTCCGCTAATAAAGAAATATTCCAACAACACAGTAATTTTATAACACAGCCCTAAAAAATAGCGGATACAAAAACGCTTACATGAATTATAGTAACAATAGTAATAATTAGAAGAAAAACAAGAAAAGGAAAATCATTTGGTATACTCCTCCGTTCAACCAAATGGTTAGTATTAAGCTAGGATATAAGTTCCTAGCTTTAATTGAAAAACACTGTCCTACTAATAGCAGACTTAGCAAGATCTTTAATAAAAACACCTTAAAATTAAGTTACAGTTGCACTGAAAATCTGAAAAGAATCATAAAAAAAACATAATAATAAAATCCGGGAAAAACACGCGTGCCAAAACAGTATTAATAAAAATCCTAAACTAAAATTAGACAAAAATAATGAAAAATTATGTGATTGTAGAAACCCTGAAGACTAACAGTTGGAAAATAAATGCCTCATAAAATCCGTGCTATATCAATGCACTATCTCATCCGTTGAGAGTCCTAACACTGATAGGATATACATTGGTTCAACGAAGAATGAATTTAAAATTAGACGGAGACAACAAAAAAGCTCCTTCAATAATATTAGAAATAGAAATCAGACATCTCTATCCAAATATTTTTGGCATTTAAAAGAAATAAATAAAACACCAAAAGTAAAATGGAAAATAATAAATAGAACAAGAACTTGTAAAACGTGGGATGACCCATGCCCTTTATGCCTACATGAAAAACTACACCTTATTAAGTTTCTAAATAATGAAAATTTATTAAATCATAGACATGAGTTAACGGTTTTCTGCCGACGTCAACAAATTTTCGCATTAAATAATTAGGATAAAAAAAATTAAATTTCATAGTCTAATAAAAGGTTTAAAATCTTAACCCAATCATAAGATAGAAAAACTCTTTATGAAGTCGTCAAAAAACAAATTGTAGTTCAGTGCGACGCGTTTATCTACGAAACAGCCCTTTAGGGAAAAATAAATAAATAAATAAATGAATAAACTAAATCAAAATTCTCTAGACACATAGCGACATATTGTGATGCCAAAAGCTATCTTTCGCTGAGACTGACCAGACGATGTGCGCACATGAATGCTATCATTCATTTTGAAATGGATACCCCCACCCGACCTCGGCTTGACTTCTTTAAGAAGATGACTGACATGTAGATAAAAATTAACTCTTACGCAACTTACCAAAATGGTCACCCCAGCCGTTTCCATAGTAATTAATTTTGTGAATGAACATGCTTATAAAGATCCGTAAATTTCAAGATTGGTTATTCCTAAATTTTCGCTTGAGGTGAAACAGGGCTTGATATCTTAATTCAATTTAATTTTAATAATTATATTGAGATTTGCGGCTCTCGTTTTCGAAACATGAGAACTCTTATGTAGCGAAGGAAGCAATAATTATAAATACATACATATATATATATACATATATATATATATATATATATATATATATATATATATGTAGATAGATAGAGAGAGAGAGAGAGAGAGAGAGAAATAAATAAAATAAAATCGCGCGCCATTTGATTATAAAAGTGAATTTATGTTCAGAGATTCCTAAAAAATGAATTCGATTATTCGATCCGCGAAAGAGAAAGTTAAAAACAAGTGAACCTTTTGTCTCATACTATCAACACTCTATCCATTCATCTTGGGCAATTTATTATCGATTTATTTTTATTTTTGCGAAGCAATCTTTGTTATTGTCGTCACACGGACACGCATATAAAAACGAGCGCACACAGGCTCAGACCCACACCATCACACACACACACACACACACACACACACACATATATATATATATATATATATATATATATATAGAGAGAGAGAGAGAGAGAGAGATACTAATCCGTTGGTATAATCTAGGCGAGTCCTATTAACACAACATAGAATTTGAGATATGTTAAAACTGACTCACAACTTTCTCCAAATAAACAGTATCCCACGACAAACTGATAATATAAACAATTTGAAAAATCCTGCGAATTTTAGAATTAAAATTTGTAGGGGAAAACGGTCATTAACTAAAGATATCTTAATTACAATTGTAATATATATATATATATATATATATATATATATATATATATATATATATAACTAATGGTATCAGCAAACTATTTCCCTAGGATGTTTCTAAAAGACATAAAATTATTTATATATATATATATATATATATATATATATGCGATTCGTGCTACCGATAAGGGATAATATATATATATTTATTAATATATACTTTAATAGTTTTTTCTATTACACGGAACACTGTTATATTAATATACATACACACCACACACCCACACACATATATATCTTTATATATATATATATATATATATATATATATATGTGTGTGTGTATGTGTGTGTGTGCTTAGGTGTAATATAACATAGAAGAGAGAGTTATATTTTCTAAGATTTTCTAATATTCAGGCCGGTAGACGAAAATAAATAAATATACTGGTTAATAAATAAACGGAACGTCTACTTAAATACAATATCCACTAAAATACCGTTTAATATAATATATATATATATATATATATATATATATATATATATATATATATATATATATAAAAAATCTGATTAGAGGCCTTGTTGCCTGATGTCGTCATACCCAGGACGATCTGATGATAGAAACAATGAACGTACCATTTGAAATTGTCGTTTAAAAGTTTTTGTTTTTGAATAATAGACACTTTTTCTTTTATCTTTTTCTCTCTTTTCTTTCCTTGTTTTTTGACGACTTATTTCGCGATACCTGTGCATCTTTTTCTGTCTTGTCCTCATTCGCTAACTTCCGTTATTCTGTTTTCATCGAGGACGAACACACCTTTGTTTATTTTCGCAATATCACTCCCTCACCTTTCTCCCTTCATTTGTATTTTACCTTTCCCTCCGGTTGATGACATTGCCTCTCTTTTTTTTCTTTTTTTATTAAATCTATTTTGTCCTTGTTTTTCTTCCTTGACATCTTGTCGGTGTCTTTGATCTTTCACGGCCACTTTTCTTCTTTTCCCTAATTGCCTGTTTTTTTTTTGCATTTATTCAACTTCGTTGTCATTGTTTACATTCTAAGCAGATCCCTTTTTTCTGTTCGAAATTAACCTACCTTTTTTAGCCTCTTTTTCATCTGCCTATTCTTTCTTCGTTTACGCCTCCTGTCTACTAAGGACGTAGCTGATCATGGCTCTTCCCTACTTCCTATCCTTTGTAGCTCGAAGCAATATTTGTCACATTATTTTCTCTCACAACTCTGTTCTATCATCCATATACACAAACCCTTAGGTAGGATACTCGAAGTTTTAGTCTTGCTTGTGAGTGTCGTATTCTCCAAGCTTTCTTTCTCCATTATGTGTTCAAGAGATTTATACTGTCTCTTTCTCAAACATGAAGCGTCCTCCTTGCTGCCTTTGCCTTAAAATTTCTTCGTTGCCCATCAATAGTATTGTCAGCAGCACTCTGTAGGACCGCATCACTCTTGTCTTACATCTTTTCATTTGTACATTTTTGCCATATAGGGGAGACACTGCAATAGAAAGGGACCCACTGAAACAGAGCGCATTCTGTTCTAATGAAATTGTCTTGTTTCTTGATTTTTTAATTTTTAGAAGGTATCTTTCGATATTGTAATGCAGTGTCACATTTTCCGTCGTCTGTTATCACATCAACCATTTATTTTAATCATTTCATCCCAAGCAAGGCAATAAAGCCACTAAGATGCAAGGGGGTTACTGAGTGTTAGAGAATAATCTATTATTAAGTAGAGACGACAATAAAAGAACGAGAATTAAGAAGTCAAAAAAGATAAAGATTGGAATTGCATTTAAATGTCTGAAGATCAAAGGCAATGAAACCACTAAGACTCAAGGAAATGCAATATATATATATATATATATATATATATATATATATATATATATATATATATATTGAGATAGATAGATCGATCGATCGATAGATAGATAGATAGATAGATAGATATATCTACATACATATATATATATATATATATATATAGATAATATTAGTGGCAAATATACATACATATGCAAAATATATAAAATATATTTAGGTCTGATGAATTGGATCGTATTTACGATTCCAATGGAATAAATTATGACCATGGAATATTAGTGTTTAAGCCTTTTTATTATATATATATATATATATATATATATATATATATATATATATATAGAGAGAGAGAGAGATAGCTATATATATATATATATATATATAGATAGATACATATATATTAGGTTGGTACAAAAAATGACGTAATAATGTCGTTTTTTTGACGTATTTTAACGTCAAAAACGACATTCTTACGTCATTATTTTGTAATTATTTATATATATATATATATATATATATATATATATATATATATATATATATATATATATATATATATATGTATATAAATAAAAAGAAAGAACAGTAAGATATAAAATCCAAGATTCTTATAGATATTTTATTTTTACAAAATAGTGCTCAATGTAAATTTACAGAGCATTAATATTATAAATTAATTGATTTAAAATATGGTTATTTTCACTACAGTTCAACCATGTTTCAAAATAGAAGCTAAAACCCCTAATTTTATTTTTTGCAAATAAATTAAAAGCATTAGTTCCATTTCATCTTCAAGCGAATATATATATATATATATATATATATATATATATAGATAGATTTTTTTAACTTGCTTGAAAAGACGCTTCTTTTTCCTATGACCCTTTCTATTTTTGTATACCTTCTTTCGCAGTTCATTTATCTATCCGCATGCAGGCGTTTTTTTCTCTATAATTGTTCCCGATTATTTTTCCGCGATAAATATTATATAAATAGTCCAGTGAATATTTGCTCTCACATCTGGTCTGGTGTTTCTGTTACATAAAGTGTACGATGGATAAATTGTCATCTAATTTACGCCAAAAATGAAAATAGCTATGACATCTCATTTTAAAAGATATATTTACGAAGGTTAAAGAAAATATCTTGAAATATTAAAGACAAAATTTATTCAATAAAATCGCCATTGGCTTCAACCACGAACCTCCTGACAGCCTCGGAATCTCTTACAACTCTTCTGGGCGGTTTCCTTTGTTTAAATTCGCGAATGCTGCCATAATCCTTGCCTTCAGTTCATCTTTGATGTTACATGAGTTTTGTTGGTCTCTCGCTCAATTGCGCACTACACATAATAATCAAGAGGGTTACATTCTGGGTTGTTAGGTGGCCAGACGTAAGGGGTGAGATAGGCGCAGAAATTGTCCGACGGCCATGACTGCGTTCTCCTGCTTGTGAGGCATGGTACAGAGTCCTCTTGGCAGACATAGGGTCTTCCAGCCATCACCTTTTTGACCCAGGACATCACTACCTCCTGAAGGCATTTGAAGTAGGCCTCCGTGTTGAGCCTGAGGCCTTCACCAACAAATTTTGTAATTCTTTTTTTTATCAGAATGGTTAGAGTCAGTTTTCCGATCTGCCGTACCTTCGTAATCACCATTAGATTCATCCAACTCTTTCTGAATCCCCTGCAATGTCCTTAGATTGGCACCCAAACACCCTGAAATGTTCGCATTCGAGCTTCCAGCGCGAATGCCAAGCCGTACAACATGCCGTTTCCTTATTTGCCTTTTCCTTTTATTCTTTGTTTCTTCATTTCTATTCTGTCTTTCTTTATTTCCATTTTTTCTTTCTTTCCATCCTTTTTTCTTTCTTTCCTTCTTCATTTCCATTCCTTCTTTGTTTTTTCTTTCTCTCTTTCTTTCTTTTATGTTTTCACTATTTCTATTTTATCTTTCAGCCGTTCTCATTTGCTTTCTCCTTTCATTTTTTCTTTCTTTCTTCATTTCCGTTCTTTCTTTCTTTCTTTCTTTCTTTCTTTCTACTCGGTCTTTCTTTCTTTCCATTCCTTTCTTTCCATTCTTTTCTCTTTCTTTCCTCCTTCATTTCCATTCTTTCTTTCTTTTTTTCTTTCTTTCTTTCTTTCTTTATTTCCTTCTTTTAGTTTTTCATTATTTCTATTTTTTTCTTTCAGTCGTTCTTATTTGCCTTCTCCTTTCATTTTCTTTCTTTCTTCCGTCATTTCCATACTTTCTGTTTCTTTCTTCATTTTCATTCTGTCTTTCTTTATTTATTTCCTTTCTTTCTTTCTCTCCATTATCTCTCTCTCTTTCTTTATTCATTTCCATTCTTTCTTTCTTTCTTTCTTTCTTTCTTTCTCTCACTATTTCTTTCTTTCACTATTTCTTTTTTTTTCTTTCCGTTTTTCTTACTTTCTTTCTCCTTCCTTTTTCCTTTCTTCATTTCCATTCTTTCTTTCTTCATTTTCATTTTTCTTTATTTCCGTTCTTTCTTTCATTCTTTCGTTTAATTTTCTCTATTTCTATTCCTTCTTTACGTTATTTTTTCGTTTTTCTTTCTTCATTTTCATTTTTTTCGTTGATTTTTCTTTCTTTCTTTCTTTTTTTCTTCAATCGTTATCATTTGTCTTCTTCATTCGTGTTCTTTTATTGTTCTCTCTCCTTAATAATGTCTTCTTATTCTCATATTCCCTCACACCCAGTAAACCCTTGCGTGTTAGTAGCTTTATTGCTTTGGCTGGTGTAAAATGATCATTAAAAGAATCAGGTTTTCTGAGCAGTTCAAATAGATCTTTGTGTCGCACCTTATCAAATGCCTTTGCGCAGTCTATGAAACGATGTACAGATATGCTTCATTTATTCGAATATACACTTCACGTGATTTACTTCGAGAGACATTCACTAGTAAAGATTAATTCCCTTTCCGAAATAACGTCATCGATCGAAGAGGTTATTAGAATTAATTTCTATAGGAAATAGTTTAAGCGTTCTCATCGACTGCCCCACCCCTGCCCATCGCCACCAAATACGTACTTTATACTTCAAAAATATCTTGTACAGTTTCCTACTTCGTTGTCATCGTCTATCTTTTGAGCAGGTGCAACTTCTAGGCACACGCATTTTTCTATCTGTTGAAACTTGACTAATGCATGGAATAATAATGCAACACAAAATGTACTTAGAACAAAATGTATTGAAACAAGAAAGTGTACACAATATTTACATATAGTCTTTTGTATATTCCTGGTAAGACCGTTCCTGGAGAATGTGTTGTCTGTGTCACAGTCGGGCAGAGTTTCTGGTTGAATCTCTTGATTCCTCCAAACCAAATTCGCACTTTGACTCTTTGACTTTAAAACCAAAGTCCTGAATCTTTTTAAATACTTGATTGAGATGTTCTCGATGTTCGTCGACGGTTTCGCTCCTTACTATGATGTCCTCTAAGTAGGCGCACGCAAAGTCTAAATCATTCAACACTATCATACAGTTTTTTTGTAGGCTCTCAAAGCATCTTGCAAACCTAACCTAAACTCTCATGATCTTTCAAAATTTAAGTTATATATATATATATATATATATATATATATATATATATATATATGTATGTATGTATGTATCACATTGACTGCTGACCTGAGATGGAACAAAAACATTGAGTCAATTGCTTTTTCCACCGCGAGGAATGTTGGCTCTCTGTGCCGCGCCAGGAAATGTTTCTCCCCGGAATCGATACTTCAAATATACAAATCAACCATTTGCCCTTGTATCGGGTATTGCTGCCATATATGGTCTGGGGCACCTTCTGTTTACCTCGGAGTTCTTGACAAGATTCAGAGACGGATATGTAATATAATTGGCCCTGATCTGGCGTCTCGTCTACAGTCACTCTCTCACAGACGCGCCGTCGCCTCTCTCTGTCTTTTCTCCAAATACTTTCATGGTAGTTGCTCCGATGAGCTGCTTTCACTGGTTCCCAGACTCCATGAATTCAAGCGCCCTACGAGGCTGGCATCCCGCTCCCACCCTTACACTGTAGAAACTGTTAAATGTAGCCGTCTCTTCTACTCCAATAGCTTCATACCACGCACCTCTCGCCTGTGGAACACCCTTCCCAATTACTGTTTCCCTGGGAGCTATAATCTCCAACTATTCAAATGTAATGTTAATCGACATCTCCATTTACCTTGATCTATCCACTATACCTCTCTTCATCCTTTCTTCTATCACTCCTATCTGCTCTTGCTCCAAATCTTCTGCAACCCCCTGCATCCTAGTGGCTTCACGCCTTGCTCCAGGGCGTAATGCTTAAATATATATATATATATATATATATATATATATATATATATATATATATATATATTACAACAATAGCAGACACATGAATGTTATTTTTTATCACGATTTTGAGAGAACGCTCAAAATAGTTTCCTGTATAAATTAATGTTAATGGTTTCTTCACTTTACATTTTACTTTCGGATACCGGGGGAACCTGCAGTTCGATTATCTTTTTTTATTTTTCTCTTTTCATTTTCCTTCTTTTATTCGTCCTGTATTATATATTATATTATCTTTCTTTTCTTTCTTTTTTCTTTCTTTCTTTCTTTCTTTCTTTCTAAACTCAAGACTCCAGATCCCTTCTCTGCTTTCTTTTCGTTTCCTTTTTACCCTTTTCTCTCCGTATCAGTAATACACTTTCTTTTCTTTGTTCAACGCCCTATCTCTGTTCTCCCTACTTCTAACCATCTAAGGCTCCCCCTTTTCCTCGTCTACCTCTCCCTCCTCCTCCTCTACCTCCCCCTCTACCTCTGCCTCCTCCTCCGCCTCTCCCTCCCCCTCTAATAAATAAAAAGACTCAAGCTACGTCCGTCAAGTGAACCAGTTAATGTGTAGCCATGTGAACGTCCGCCATTTCCGTCCTCCCTTTATTTCTATGCTTCATTATGTCCACAAACCATTGATTCCGATCGCTTCCGTTCTTACCTTTTCATCCAGGTAGAGTGCGCGACACCAACTCATTTAAACACGGACGACACCCCTTTTTTTTTTTTCAAGCTTCTTCACTTACCAGTCTTGCTCAACACTGTATACATGTCGGAATCGTATCAAAGATGGATACTTGTTAACGCTTACCATCACGAAGGAAAGATCGTATTTAATGCAATTCACTAACCATATCTACCTTAGTAAATCCCTAAAATCCATAGGGTAATAACAGAAAAAACATTGATTTTACAAACAAATAATTATTTATCAATATAATTTTCTTTCGTGTCAATGCATTTAATCCAATAGTAATATTAATTAAAGAGATCGTATAGTGAGGATTTCAGGTCAAATCTTTTCCTTCCAAGTTAGGCTACGAGAAAATTGATCCATCGCTATCATTCTAGGTGATAGTGAAACGTATATATATTTGTTAAAGTTTGTCTCCTTAAAGTCTATTGATCATTTTGTATTTCCTGTTTTAATTGCATGATGGACGATTCGAAATTATATAATGTTTTGAATGTAACATTTAGATTGTTAATAATAAGATTTCATGTAGACTGAGTCATTGTTGGTCAAATTTGTGAATGGTTCTGCTTGAAGCAGCGAATGTTGGGAAAGAATAGAACTAAAGAAAGAAAGGAAGGAAGAATGGAAAGAAAGAAAGAAAGAAAGAAAGAAAGAAAGAAAGAAAGACACTTTAAAAAATATACTCTAGAAACATCTGACAACATTTTTATAAATGAGGATCACATCATTCATTGGATTAACAGTATTTTAATGCAGAAAAATAAATAAATAAATAAATAAATAAATAAAGAAAGAAAGAAAGAAAGAAAGAAAGAGAAAGATAAATGAAAAAAGAATAGAAATAAAAAATCAAGAAAGAATGGAAATGAAAAAGAAAGGCAAAAATAAAGAGAGAGAGAATGGAAAGAAAGAAAGAAAGAAAGAAAAAAGAAAGAAAGAAAGAACGAAAGAATATAAAGAAAGACAGAATAAAAATAAAGAAAGACAGAATAAAAATGAAGAAAGAAAGAAAGAAAGAAAGAAAGATAGAATAAAAATGCAGAAAGAAAGAAAGAAGGAAAATGAAGAAAGAAACGAAATGGAGAAAGAAAGAAAGAAAGATGGAAATGAAGAAAGACAAAAATAACGAAAAAAAGAAAAAAAAAAAAAATAGAAATATAGAAAAACTGGAATAAAGAAAGAAAGAATGGAAATGAAGAAAGGAAAACAAAAGATGAAGGAAGAATAAAATTGGCAGATAAAAAGAAAGAAAAAAAAATGAAAGGAAAATAGAGACAAAAATAAAAGAAAGAAAGAATATAAATAAAAATTGAAAGAAAAAAGGACAGAAAGAAAGAAAGAAAAATAAGAATGAAAAAGAAAAGAATGAAAAATCGAAATAAACTGAAATAATTAAAAGAAAGAATGACTGGAAATGCAGAAAGAGAAAAAGTAAAAGAAAAAGATTGGCAAATAAAAAGGAAAAAAAAGAAAGGAAAATAGAAAGCAAGTAAGTAAGAAAAAAAATAGAAACAGAGAAAAAAATGAACTGCATTATTGGTAGTTTTCTCCAACACTGCAGTATTCTACAAAAGCAATATATTAACATAAGAATTCGATTCCTGTTCTTTAATCGCATCGTCAATGTTCAACTTCTATAGTAAATTTCTTATAACTGATCCATGTACTGAGGTAATCAAATTATGTTCAGTGTTTCTTAATTTCACATCCTGAATTTTTATATTAGATTCTGAGTACATTGCTATCACGACTTTAACATTTATTCAAAATCATAATTTCTATTATGGTAAATTATGAGTCCTTTTTGTCTATATTTCTGAGATGAGGTATCATGTACACTATTTACATTATTCGGACTAGTGTCCTCATCTCTGTAGCCATATTTATGACAACGTTTCGGCCGTTGTACACTCCAGCCTTCTTCAGGTGTTTGGAATGTCGAACTGAACCCTTTATTTCGCTGACTGGGGTAGACTGTTCTAGTTCCATGTGCCATGTTTAATGGATGTCAGTTATCAATTATCTCCTGTTAATTCCCCTTTCTTCATTCTTTCTTTCTTTCTTTCTTCATTTTTATTCTGTCTTTCTTTATTTCCTTTCTTTCTTTTCATTCTCTCTCTCTTTCTTTCTTCATTTTCATTCTTTCTTTCTTTCTTTCTTTCCGTTTTTCTTACTTACTTTCTCCTTTCTTTTTTCTACTTTTCTTCATTTCCATTCTTCTTTCTTTCTTTCTTTCTTCATTTCCTTTCTTTGTTTATTTTTATTCTGTCTTTCTTTCTTTCTTTCCCTTCTCTCTCTCTTTCTTTCTTCATTTTCATTCTTTCTTTCTTCATTTCCTTTCTTTCTTTCTTTCTTTATTTTTATTCTTTCTTTCTTTCTTCATTTCCTTTCTTTCTTTCTTTCTTTCTCCACTGCCTTAACCGGGTATTGA